AATCATATTATATCAAGCAACTCAATAATCTCCTGCGGACTTATTGAGTGATGTGTTATACAGCATATTTTATAATAACTAATAGTTGCGTAATTTAAGATTAAATTTTAATTGAATGTCAAGATGATACATTATTGAAATTATCCAACACAAAGCAGTTACTGAGATATCGTCGTAGAAAGGATCTCGTTTCAAATTCTATTACAGAGCGCCTTCGTTACAAATAAGCGGCGAGCTTTGGCATTATAGTTGTCCGGACAACATTCCTTCCGGGATTTATGTTCCGTTTATTAATGACCAAAGTGCAAATTGATACATTCCTAGTCCACAAGATAATGCGCATGATGAAATAATAACAAAAGCTACGAATATTCCATACAAATATGCAGCTTTATGATCGTTGTAAATTGCACGATGCGCAGTTTCACTTGCGACGTAGAAATGATTAATTTGCTAGGAATTTGATGTGAAATAGTTTCTAATTATTATGAAGTTATAAAAAGCAAATAAAACTAGTGGTGTATGGCATGGTGTCTTAAGGCAAATTTGCTAGAACTTTCCATACCGTAACGAAGTGTTCGAGGAATACTGAATGTTTTCAAATAGATTATTATTAATATTGTAACATTGTCTAATATTTATAAGAATATATAAACTGAATTGCAAAGTTGAAATTATTTGTTTAAAGTATATAGAACTATAGTCAGAATTAAAAATAAATCTGAATTATTTTCGATATACAAAAAAAACTTTTTTGACAAAAATATTGAAACAAATTTTTTTTCAAAATCAATTATTTTGTTAAGACAAGCAGAAAGTTCTTTGAATCATTTAAATCGAACGCCTTAGTTCTCTCAAGAACTGCCATTTTTTACATATTTAGCTCCGTATCTTCGAAATGGCTGGACCTGCCTTTGCCAAAAACTAATAAACACTTCTCCCAATCATTACAAATTGAATGTTTTTTTAGATCATTCAAATCGGATACTCCGTTCTCTCAAAAACTTGATTTCTTTTATCTGCACTCTTTGCTCCGTATCTCCGAAACTGCTGGACCTGCTTTTGCCAAAAACTAATCAGCTCTTCTTCCTATCAATAGGAATCGAATGTTTTTTGAACCATTCAAATCGGTTGATCCGTGCGCCCGAAAACGTGACTGGAAATTTGTATCCATACATACATACACACACACATCTATTTTTTCTGAAGTATGCCAAAATGTTCAGAAACCTTCAAAACGTCGAAAAATGTAAAAATCTTCAATTTCGATTTTCGGCTCATTACAATAGCTTACCCTACGGGAAGTGAACTAGTGGTGTATGCAGTGGTGTTGTGCTAATATTTTTTTTGCCGGAACGCTAAAATTTAAAATCCGGTTCATAAACCGGTTCAAAAAAATTGATATATTTCGATAAGAACTCACAAATCTAATATATTGACTTCTTATATAATCAACTCTATTATATACAGCTAGTCTATAAATTAAATTGTACAAGTATGAGGGAATCATTGAGTGCATAATAATATTCTTTAATAGCAATAATTATATTTATTGCGGTATTATTTGTATTCATTAATACTTACAGGTATTTATTATGATCTAAAAGTACTCAAGATTTATTACAATACTTTATAAGACTTAACCTAATAATACGATAGATAACCTATTACCTATCTTACTATACTATATTATTGTATATCATAGGTAGATATCTATTATCAATCATACCGTGAGATACCTACACCGTCATTAACTTATTATATACCTACATACTTTTTACTTCTTATAAATATTACTGTCTAATTTATATATTTACCTATATTATATAGGTTTACCTTACGCCCTATGTATTATCTCTACCTATCAATTGTCTATACCGGGAATTGAACCCGGGACATCCGCGTGGCTGTCGCGCACCTTAGCCATTACCCTATCGGGGTACCGCCATTAATAATATAATATGGGACGCCCTGTTGTTTCCGCGGGTCATTTTCTAATTAATTAGGTAATTCATACTAAGGTGGCGCGACGACACGCGAAAAAAGACGGTTGATTGTAGCGTTACGGTGGTCTAGTGGTTAAGGTTGTCGCGTGCCACGCGGCGGACCCGGGTTCGATTCTCGGTAGGGTTAATGTATCGTGTAAGGAAAATTATAGGTAATAGGATATATAGTAGATAAAGGTTAAGTGTATTCGGTATACAATGTAGGGATTTGAGAGTATATGATGAAATATAGCGTATGGTATAGATGTAAGGCGTTTAGTATAGAATGCAACGTATAGACATACGTAAGGCTATAAAAATATAGAAAACTATGATGTAGGTGTTAGCGTATAAGAAATGCGAATGAATATAAGATTTAATTTATAAATATTATTTTTTCTATAAGAATTTTTATCTCCGTATTAAATATCTAAAATATCCAAAATATCCGTTAAGGCATCGATTACACCTTACTGCTGCCTGATACTGCTAGCTGATTTTCTTAAGATGTTCTTAGTCTCGCAACTTACTGAATTCTAAAATTCTAAATTTAAAAATATAATATAAAAATTATTATACCGCTGTCTGGAAGGGATGGCAATTTATAAATATACAGACTAATACATACAGAATTTGGAAATTTTTCTATAATCCGTAATATTGAGAAAGTTTGCATTAGACCTAAAAAGAGATGCTTATTTACCTAAGCTATGGAAATATATATGAAAAAATTATATGATTTGCACATGCATCCTGTGCTCACGTAAACTAAACAATGATCATAATATATTTAACGAATTTTGAACAGTATTTACAAATTACATTCAAATCACCCAAAGCAAGTGGGTTAAAGTCGTGTAATTTTTTAATTTGCCTCCCCCTTTTGAATTTAAAAATGGATTTTTCTGTGGGGCGTGTGCCCCACGTTGGGAATTACTAGTTTAAGAGTACAATTTTTTAATCTACTACCAGGTTAATCAATAATTGAGTGATCGTCAATTCTATATTTTTTTGTATGCTTTACTTTTTATAAAAAACTATACAATAAATACTTTTTAAATATTTTTCAACAATTATTCTTGTAAAAGTACTTGGCATTCAAGGTAAAGAATAATGAAAACATTCACAAATACAATTGTATTATTAACAATATATCCCTATGATGATACTATTTCAGTAATTATATTATAATTTTGTTCGCTTGAAAAATTAAGCAACATCGATATATTATTGTTCTGGTTAAACTGAAATGTTTCTAATAATGGAAAACTAGCAGCTAAATCGACTTAGCTGGTATTTTTCTCTGGAGGAGTGTCCATTTGCAGCTTCCGACCACTTTCAATGGTTGAACAAAGCTTCCTGCAGGAACCAGATATACGTATATAATATTGTCAATAGTTATAAACAATATGCAGCAGTCGTCCTTTGAGATCTTGAAATGTAGAAGTGCTATATTGGCTAGCAATTTGCTCCAGTCGGGTTCTCGAACGGACTAATTGACTCAAATCCATGATAGTCTTGATTAACAAAAATAAATTGTAACAAAAAAAAAAAAAAAAAAAAAAAAAAAAAAAAAAACATGATGACACAACAAACTACTAGACCAGATCAGAACCACGTTTCACAATATATTATTTCACTTCATAAAACGTAGCATTATTGAACTTAATCACTTTGTAGTTTTTCGGATCAGATCGACAATTTATGACCTAAAATTCGGCTCAATGTTATCAATTTTGATCTAAAATTCGATCCGAAATTATGATGAGGATCACTTTGATTAATTTGATATTATTGAGGACTGTAAATTTTAAATAAGATATGTGAATAAAATCACTATTTAGTTTATAATATGTACTGATCTTTAATCTACAACCTTCTTCTCTCATTACTTTTGCTATTTTCTCGGTTATTATAAATTACATGCAATTTATATTCATACAATTGTATTCCCTACCCCAAAGGGTACCGGGTTAAATAGAAAAGGCCCTGGTCAAATCTTGACCATCTACAATTGTAGACAATTTACTATGATCGCGTGTAAAAGATAACAAATATATTGCATTTAATTTTTAGGTGATACCTTGTATCATGTAATCTGAAAAACAATGTTCAAAATAAACAAATTTACATTCAATCGGTTTCAAATGTTTCGAAATGTACTTCTAAAGCAATGTAAACTAGTTGGCTTGGTATTTTGCCTTGAGGCAAGTTACACAAACTTCCCGATATGTGTAATTAATCGACTTAATCAATAAAAACTAAATGAATTTATTAGTGATTAAAAGTATTCCGAGTGGATTTGTACACGTAATTGAAAACGAGCGAACACTTTGACATGGAGTATTTTCTAAAAGTAAATTTTCAGAAATCAGCAATTGTTATAATTGAACCAGTTCAAAAAAACTACTCATTTTCTTAAACTTTGAATTTTTAAAAAATTAACTACTTGTCGTAAGGTCGTAATATTTCAATAAGTTGTATAAGACCATGATATATATCATAAAAAAAAGTTTCATAAAAATCGACTCAAATTTTTTTTTCAACAAGGAATTACAAGAAAACGGCTTGGTAGATTTTCATCTAAAACTAATCAGTATCATTCCCAACTAATATCTTTATAACAGTTTTTGATTTTTTTAAATCGATTCAGTAGTATGAGCTTAAATGTGGACGAAAAGTTTAACACTATTTTTAAATTACAAAGAAACGGCTTGACAGATCGTCACACAAAACTGACAAACGATAGTCCTCATCGAGATACATCAAATGGCTTTTAAATTTCTGAAATCGGTTCAGGCATTTTGGAGAAAACGTCGATGAAAAGTCTAATTTTGACAAATGCCAAAAAAAAACGATACCAATTTTTACAAACTTTGACGAATTTTCAAAGTTAGACCAATTGTCGTAGAGCCGTAATATTTTAGTATGATCTAGAAGACTATGGTATCTACCGTCAAAAAAATAATAATAAAAATCGTCGAAAAAAAATTTTTTAACGCTTTATTACAAGAAAACGGCCCGAACGATCTCTACCAACAACTCATCAGCACGATTCCCAATCAATATCTTTCGAACGGTTTTTGAATTTTCAAGATCGATTCAGAACAGCGGGATAAAACTTGGACGAAAAATTTTTCATTTTCCTGTTATTTACAAAGAAACGGCTAGGCTGATCGTCGCGTAAAATTGATAAACGCTAGTCCTCATCGAGATACATCGAATGGCTTATAAATTTTTGAAATCGGTCCAGCCATTTTTGAGAAAACGTCGATTTACGGCAAAAAATCTGTTCACACACACACACACACACACACACACACACACACACATACATACTATTTCCAAATTTGGTCTCATTCGATTCAGAATGGATTGAAACGTCGAGAAAACATAAAATTAGCGAATCGGATTTTTTTATGTAAACATAAACTTTCTCCTTCGGGAAGTTAAAAACACATTGGTTAACAGTTAAATGAATTCAAATCAACTATTTTTTTATTTATATTCTATTTCAGGCGAGCACCTGATACCAGCTGGTTGCATGATTCAGATGTCGTTGTTCTATTTGCACAGAGACCCGGATCATTTTCCGGACCCACTGAAATTTGACCCCGACAGATTCACACCGGAGGCGTCTCGAGGCAGACACCCATACGCCTACGCCCCGTTCAGCGCCGGACCAAGGAATTGTATCGGTAAATATATTTTTACACATTTATAATTTTATATATATATATATATATATATATATAGCATAGAGCAGCGGGGCTTAAAGATCCGAGGGTAAAGAGATCTATCATATGTAACCTAGTTGAAAGTGGCATTTAGCCTTAAGGCAAGTTGCATGAACTTCCCGAAATGTGTAAGAATTGACTTAATCAATCGTAATTGAAATTTAGATATTTAGATAAAATTTTCAACTGTTTATTTCAAATAGAAAGTTATCGCTTTCAATTAAATCTAAACATTGGGAATTTTCTCAAACACATTTAAAGTAACTGTAATTATATCAATTATATTGCACAGTCACGTGCTTGTATACCCAAAAATTGTAGCTTATTATTTAAAATTTTAATGAATTCACAATGTTTGACTCATCACGTCACAAAAGCAACTTTTGGCACAAATTTTAACTATATTTTCTCAAACTTTGATGAATTTTTAACATTAAACTATTTGTCGTAGGACCGTAAAATTTTAGTATGTTCGATATGACCACGATATGTATTGCCAAAAAAGGTTCATAAAAATCGGCTAAAAAATATTCAACAGTTAATTTCAGGAAAACGGCTCGGTAGATTTTTACCTAAAACTAACCAGTATCATTCCCAACCAATATCTTTTGAAAAGTTTTTGATTTCTTAAAATTTATTCAGAATTGAGAGCTAAAACGTAAACGCAAATTTTGTCACTTTTCTGCTCTTTACAAAGAAACGGCTCAGTCGCATGACACTGACAAAGAAAAGATAATCCCCATCGAAATACATCGATTGGCTTTTAAATTTTTGAAATCGGTTTAGGCGTAATCGTCGATGAAAGTTCTAATTTTGGCAAACACCAAAAAACGATACTGATTTTTGCAAACTTTGACGAATTTTTAAAATTAAACGACTTGTTGTAGGGCCGTAATATTTTAGTATGATCTCTAAGACTATAGTATCTACAGTCAAAAAAAAATTCATAAAAATCGTCTTACAAAAACGACTTTTTTCAAAATTGGTCTCATTCGATTCAGAATAGCTTGAAAAGTCGAGAAAACATAAAATTAGCGAATCGGATTTTTTTTATGAAAACAAACTTCTGTTTCGGGAAGTTAAAAACAAGTAAAGTCAGGAATTATTCAACAACAATTTTTCAAAGTAGAGGTCAAAACATCTGTAATCAGCCATTGCATTAACTCAAGCACCGTCGTTATCAGGAGCTTAACAACCATGTTTGAAAATCTAGAACAAAAGTATTTTCTTTCGTGGTTTGTTTTTCTGGTTGTGAGCACTGTCGTTAAGTTTACGAGACCTTAACATAATATTTTAGTATACGTTATTGGGTTGTTTTATAAATTGTATTATTATTTTTGAATTATATTAAATAGATTTTTTATGTATAACCTTCATAAAAGTATACATGTGGTTGGAGCATAATGAACCAACTGAATCTTCGTAAAATTATAAACAATGAGAAATTAGTAAATAAAAAAGCATGCTAAGTTGAAAAATGCTATTTTAAAAGAGATACATCAAATAAATAGTTTTTTCAACTCTGGTGATAAATTTTTTGGCAAAATACTAGATCGCACTATTCAAAAGGCTATATACGGTTTTATCTTTGTAAAAAATGTGCCTATAAAATATATAGGGGTCTCATCATAAATTTTAGAAAAAATGTGAAAAACATTTCTGTACTTAGGAACTAACAGGGAATTATGCTTAACATAGTATGGTACTTGTTTTTTTAATACGTTTTATGTGCTCTGATGTAGTTCATTTGGTTTAGACAATATAATTAACTTCCGTAGGGTAAGTTATAGTAATCGCAAAAAATCGAAAATGAAAATTTTTATATATCTTTACGTCTCAAAGGTTACTGAATATTTTGTCATACCTTAAAAAAATGTGTGTATGTGTGTGTGCGTGTGTGTGTGAGCGGATACAAATTTTTGTCGACGATTTTGGGAACACCGATCAACCGATTTGAATAATTCAAAAAATATGCGATTGGAATTGATAAGGAGACGTGCTGATTAGTTTTTGGCAAAGGCAATTCTAGCCGTTCCGAAGATACGGGGCGAAAAGTGCCAAAAACGGTAGCTCAGTTTTTAAGAGAGCGGAGCGTCCGATTTTAGTAATTCAAACCACATTTTATTTGTATTGACAAGATGAAGAACTACTTAAATTTTTAAAAAGACATGTCCAGCTGTTATGTACTCTCAATAAAAATAAGTTGAAAAAATGTCATTTGGCGGTCAAAATTGACATATGTGCATCAAATTATCAGATATTTTATAGAGATTTTAATAATGTGAACATATTTTGTGTATTTTTTTTAGATTGCGTACCAAGATTTTTAATTACGGTACGGTAAGTTTCAGCAATTTGCCTTAAGGCACGATGCCATGCAACCTAGTTACTGAAATCAAATTGGAGCTTTGTACGCCTGACCTACAAACGCCTTTTCTCTATATGCTCTACATCTACATGCATGCACAAAATATTTCCGAATATACCATAAATGCAGCTAATATTTTGTTCAACCGAGTTTTGATTGTATCTTGTATTTTCTATCTGTGAAAATCTCATTTCGGTGACACCGGTAATTCGCAATTCACGCACCTTTGAGTCGCGCACGGCTTTTTCGACGGACTGATCAGTGATATAATGCGAGTGTGGCTCCCGTGAAACATGTTAAATCTGGCAGTAAATCGATTTTAGCCAATATACACTGCATGGAATTTTCAACAAGTCGGGGGATAAAAATTCAACCCATTTGACAAATAGGTACATCATTCCGCATAACATGAATTTATTCTCTAATACTGTTTTGGTGCAAACCGATCAGACTTAACGATTTAAAAAAATTACATGTACATACAGTAATTTATAATATTCAATATTAAGTGAGCGTTTTATTATTATTAGTTATCTTATATCTTGCAATTATTATTAATTACACAAAAATATTAATCATTCTTAGTGTTGATGTCTCACTATTAATTATATCTGATGTATCATGTTTAAACAAATTGGGCCATTGTAAACTAAGCTTATGACGAGTTCTAGAAGTCTACACATTTGTTTTACATAAGTAACTAGTTGGTTTGGTATTTAGCCTTGAGGCAAGTTACATGAACTTCCCGATATGTGTAATTAATCGACTTAATCAATAAAAAATAAATTAATTTATGAGTGATTAAAAGTATTCCGAGTGGATTTATTACATATGATTGAAAACGAACGAACACTTTGACTCGGAGTATTTTCTAATAGCAAATTTTCAAAAATCACCAGTTTTTATAATTGAACCAGTTACCATAGGAAAACTCCTTTAATGGCTTACTATGTTCATTAAAACCAAGTATCGTTATACCAAGAAAATCGTCTAATTTTAATTTTAACAAACGTCAAAAAAAACCTCTCATTTTCTTAATCTTTGATGAATTTCTAAAATTAAACTACTTGTAGTAAGGCCTTAATATTTCAGTAAGTTTTATAAAACCATGATATATATCGCTAAAAAAAGTTCCATGAAAACCGGCTTAAATTTTTTTTTCAACAGTTAATTACAAGAAAACGGCTCGGTAGATTTTCACCTAAAACTGATCAGTATCATTCCCAACTAATATCTTCGAACAGTTTTTGATTTTTTAAAATCGGTTCGGTAGTATGAGCTTAAATGTGGAGAAAGGTTTAACACTTCTTTCCAAATTACAAAGAAATGGCTCGGCCGATCGTCGCACAGGACTGAGAAACGAAAATCCTCATCGAGATACAGCAGGACTGAGAAACGAAAATCCTCATCGAGATACAGCAAATGTCGACGAAAGTAATTTTGGCAAATGCCAAAAAGACCATACTAATTTTTGCATACTTCGACGAATTTTTAAAGCTAAACCAGCTGTCGTAGGGCCGTAATATTTTAGTATGATCTAGAAGACTATGGTATCTACCGTCAAAAAAATAATCATAAAAATCGTCGATTTTTTTTTAAAAACTTTATTACAAGAAAACGGCTCGGGCGATCTCTACCAAAAACTAATCAGCACGATTCCCAACCAATATCTTTCGAACGGTTTTTGAACTTTCAAAATCGATTTAGAATTGCGGGCTAAAACGTAGACGAAAAATTTTTCACTTTTCTGCGATTTATAAAGAAACGGGCTTGGCCGATCGTCGCACAAAACTGACAAACAATAGTCCTCATCGAGATACATCGAAAGGCTTGTAAATTTTAGAAATCGGTCCAGCCGTTTTCGAGAAAACGTCGATTTACGGCAAAAAATCTATTCACACAGACACACACACATGCATACTTTTTCCAAATTTGGTCTCATTCGATTCAGAATGGCTTGAAACGTCGAGAAAACATGAAATTAGCGATTCGGATTTTTTGATGAAAACATAAACTTCTCCTTCGGGAAGTTAATCATTAAAAATAGATCAATGATTTAAAACAATTGTTTTATACATTTTTAAATAGATAATTATAATTATTAGATATTTTATTGATCATAAAATATACAGTGATGATCTTTTAGCTCAATGCACTTGAGAAAGTTTACATTAGAAAGTGAATGAATGAATCCATCTGAAGATATAATAACGCATTTGAAATATATACATTTTGAAACTGAATTGTAAATTTAAAATTCTTATTTAAAGTATAAAACTTTGTATATTTTTGAAAATTTTAAAAAGAAATTTCAGAAAATTTCGAAATTAGCTTGAACCGTATAAAAAAATGTTATAAAATATGTTCTTATTATTAAACTATCTATAAAATATCTGATAATTTGATGTGAATATGTCTAATGATCATTTTGGACCGCCAAATATCTTTTTATATTTACATTTTTCTCTGTATCTCCGAAACCGCTAGATCTGCCTACCAAAAAATTTAACCAATTCATCATTTTGTCAATATAAATAAAATTATTTTTGAATCATTTGAATCGGGTGCTTTGTTCCCTCAAATACTGAATTACAATTTTTGGCACTTTTTTTACCGTATCTTCGAAACGGCACTACCTGTCTTTACCAAAAACTAATCAATAGGAATCGAATGTTTTTTCAATCATTCAAATTGGTTGATTGGTTGAAAACTTGTATCCAAACATACACGCACACACACACATACATCCGTTTTCTCTAAGGTATGCCAAAATGTTCAGAGACCTTCAAAACGTGAAGATATGCAAAAATTTTCATTCTGGATTTTTTTGCGATTACTATAACTTACCTTACGGGAAGTTAAAAATATCGTAAAAGGCAAAATTGATATAAACAATTGAATTCCCATCAAACTTTTCATTATATGATAATTATTACGCCTCTATTTTTTCTCAGCGTACACTAAATTGTGCAAACCATAGAATTGGATAGAATACCACGGATATTTATAGGAAACAACTTAACGAATGCTTTTCCCTTAGAGGGCCCCGGCGGCGCAATTAATTTACTCATAAATAGTTGCTCCTTCCTGTATTTCTCACACCGAAATAAAGATACGAAGGTACTATCTTGTAGAACAGTAATCTGATATCGTTATTACTCTGGTATACCCGACACTCTGCAATAGGTGGTTTTCTCCAGATATTGTTAGTGTTGAGAAGTAGTAAATGTAAGGAACAGAATTGAAGATATAAGTATATAAGTTATTATTACCATTTTGTATCGACAATGTATCAGGTATACCAAAATGTTCACAAGGTTTTGAAACGTAACGATATATAAAAATTTTCGATTTTTTTTTGTGATTACTACAACTTAGCCCACGGAAAGTTAACTAGCGGTGAATGGCATCATGCCTTAAGACAAATTGCTTGAAGTTCCCGTACCGCAACAAAAATATTGCAGGAGTATTAAATGTTTTGAATTAGATCATTATGATTACTCTAAGTTGCATTATTCGCATATTATAGCCAAAGTGCATTCGAATTAATTTTGGTATTCAAAAAAATTATTTTTTAAAAATTAAAAGAAATTTTACAAATTACATTTTTTTTAACCTTCCCCAACAACTAATTGTTTCTTCACACTGTCGACATAAGCAAAAAATTTTTTTGAATTATTCAAATCGGATGCTTTTTTCTCTCAAAAACGACCATTTTTTTATATTTAGCTTCTTATCTCCGAAACGGCTGGGCCTGTCTCTGTCAAAAACCACTTTTACCCATCAAAACAAATTGAATGTTTTTTGCAACATTAAGATGGGATACTTGTTCTCTCAAAAATGTAATTTTCATTTTCTGCACTCTTTGCTTCATATCTCCGAAACGGCTTCACCGACTTTTGCCAGAAACTAATCGGATGGTCTCTTTATCAATAGGAATCGGATGTTTTTTTAAATATTTTAAATTAGTTGATCCATGCTCCCGAAAACGAGAACAAAAAACTGTATCCATACATACGCACACATACATACATACAAACATTTTTTCTGTGGTATGCCAAAATGTTCAGAAACCTCTGAAACGTGAAAATATGCAAAAAATTTTTTGATTTTTGGACGATTACAATAACTTACCCTACGTGAAATTCAAAATTTTGGTTCAAAAAACATTCAATTCCTGTTTGCTGATTAGTTTTCGATGAAGACAGGTTTAGCCGTTTCAGAGATATGGGGCAAAAAGTGCCAAAAACGGTAATTCAGTTTTTGAGAGCACGGAGTACTCGATTTTTTTTTATTATTATCTCTTTTATTTACAACTGTCCAGTAAGGGACATTCAATAAATTTGATGAATTTACAATAGTCGGCCGAAAAGGGACATTGTATACTACAAGGGCATGTTGGAAAAAACAACTCAGTAGTTGTTTTTTCATTCGATTTAAAATTCACAATGTTTTATTGATAATTATATAATTTTAACTATTTACTTATTGAATAATTTCTTATAAATAACGATTAAGTTATTACCATTTTTTATCAGGAGAGTAGATGGATTAAATCCAGTGGCGCTTTTCTTTTCAATCTTCTTGGATAGTACTTTGTTACCAATGAGTTTGCTAATGAATTTGGGTGACTGATTAGCTTGTTTCTATACTTGTCTGCTGTTTTTGTAATTACTCGATTTTATTGATACAAAAACATTTTACTTGTAATGACGAAATGAATAATCGATGAAATTTTTGGTAACGCGGGTCTAGCGGTTTCGGAGATACAGAGGAAAAAGTTAAAACAAAAATTATATTTGGTGGTCAAAAATGAACATCAGACGTATGCACATTAAATTATCAGATTTTTGATAAAGTTTTTGAAAATGAGTACTAATTTTTTTGTTACAATTTTGTTGGGTTCCGTACCAAGATTTTTCGGAAAAAAATTCAAAATATACAAAGTTTTATCAAATATGAATTTTAAATTTACAATTCAGTTTGAAAATGTATATATTTTAAATGCGTTAGTTTTATTGTGAGAAATATATCCTCAGATGGTTTTATTCCGCATCTCATACTAATGTAAACTTTCTCAAGTGTTTTGAGCAATAAGATCGTCTCTGTATATTTTATGAACAATAAAATATATAGTGATTATAATTATCTATTTAAAAATGTTTAAAACAATTGTTATTAATCATCGATCAATATTTAATTAATTATAATAATTTAATTATTACTGATTTTTCCTCGAATATTTAATTCTGGTAAGGAAAGTTGCAGCAATTTGCTTTAAGGCACGATGCCATAAATTTCTTGTTTCCATGCACCATGCACCACTAGTTTTGTCGAGGCTCCGAAATATTTTAAATTACTGTACGGAAAGTTCCAGAAATTTGACTTAAGGCACGACGCCATACACCACTAGTTTAATTTTACAACAAGACACCCCAATAATTTTATTTCAACAAACAAAATCGTTACCCACTAATACAATTTGAATTGAATCAAGTGCAAGCGTAATAATTGTACACTCTTATGTTGTATTTAATCAATTTTATTTTTAAAACATTTGTTAATACTTATTCATACAACTATTAAATAATTTTGTAATATATTTAATTAAACTTTCAGGTCAGAAATTTGCTCTGATGGAGGAAAAAGCTGTTCTGGCCACCGTGTTACGTGAATATGTAGTAACGACGTTAAAACCTCAGGAAACTTTATGTGCCGAACTTATATTACGCCCTCCCGACGGCATGCGCATCAAATTGCAACAACGCCATACGGAACGCTAAAATCCAAATTGCTCATTTAAAACTATCTCCAAATACATTTACATTAGTTAGACTGCATAATATTGTTAGGCAGTCAGTTAGTCCATAAGTTTCTTCATTGAAGCCATTATTTAAATCGCGTAAGAGTAAGTTCACATAGAATTATTTTAATTAATTAAACGTATAATATTATTAAATATATTTTATTATTTTGTTTTTGTATTATTATACCTGCTTTCAGTACATTTATTTGTTGAATATTTTATATCAATTTATTTTTGATAATTATTTTGATAAGCTCAATTTGTTCTTTGTGACAATAATTTAGGCATATAAAAGAAAACCAGTAAAACAATACAATAAAATCACCAACAATTAGTTTGTTTTTCTTCTGTGTTATTAATCATCAGAACATAAATAAATTCTATAAGTTATTTTGATATACATTATTTACTATTAGATACAATTTATTGAATCAAGTTAATTGGTCGTAATTTTTTACTATTTTTATATTTGTAAATAATAAATTAAGATCTTGCTTTTAGAAGTCTTCAATGTATAGTACATTAAGATCATAGTGCAGAGTATGTATCTACGTATTTTAGGTTGTGTTCTCTGTACCAATGCTACATTTGACAGTTAGGCGATAAACGTCCAATTGCCAAGAGCCGTCTACTTTAGCACTTATGTATACTAGTTATACTTCAAGGTATAATTTTTTTTTACTTAAGTATATTTCAAATAAATAATAACGAAATGGAATCCACATTGTATGTAGTATATGTAAATACATGTTATTAAATTCAATTGAATTAATTCATTCCATAATTCATTCATATGCATTTTCCAATCGCACATTCTCTCAAATATATAGAATGCATGTGCCTTTGCGGATATTAAAACTTCGGCCACCAAATTTTTTTTCCAAAAAACTTTTTTCCACAAATTTTTCCTCTCAAATTTTTTTTTCAGAAATTTTTTTGACCAAAATTTTTTTGACCAAAAATTATTTGCATCGTGCTTAATTATTAATTTCAAATAGTGATACAATAATAATATTAATTAATATATAATTGTTACATTTTGATTAAAGAAACGTATGGATAAATTTTACTGTGAACACGGTAAACTACTAGTCATTCGGCCAGTTATTATTAAACAGAACGAGATGGCGCCAAACATAAATGCATTCTGCATTGATGCATACTGCATGCTTTGAAATACTGCAAGGGTGGCTATGAAATAACGACCTAACAACAGTTTCATTGCATGAAAGTAATGTATAACTAGAAATTTTTGGGTAGAATACCCTAGGGTAGAAAAACTCATATATAATTCACTGTATTTACATAAAATGTAACCAATATATTGAATAAATTTTTATTTCTGTGTATCTGTCTGTCTGTTTGTTTCATTGCACTTAGTACTATACTGAGTGTTAACTCAACTTTTTATTGGGTTTCATTTTGTTCAAATGAGCAATCAATTGCTACTGCCAGGACTCCCGTTCGCAACCATGCGTCGAGATCCGTTGGAGCAGAATCTGATTGGGTCGTTTCGTCTGGACTTTTTTTGGATCCGACTTTGGTCGACCGGGTCTCCAGTCGACTAACGATCGCGACAGATTTCAAAGTCTTCGACGATCTCAGAGTTGCCCAAAATTTTTTTGACCAAAAGTTTTTTTGCCCAAAATTTTTTTCACAAATCCATGGGAGGAGTGTTTCATTCCGCACCATTCTCAGTGATATATATTACAAACACACTGTACGGGTACAGGCATTATAAACATAAGCATATTTGCTGATGTTTATATAAACATTAATATACTCATTAATTCGTTCTTCGATGAGGATGATCAATAAAGTTAATGTAGTTATGACTTTAACCATTTTAAATAGACTAATCTATTGTTTTTCACTCATTTCAAACATGTCAAAAATATTAATGTTTTTCATTCGTTTTAATCTATACTATTATTCAAAGTGTTAATTAGTTCATTTTAATTAATATACTTTAAACTACCCTGTTCTATCATCGACTCCCACCTCCCAACGCGCGCCGCCATGACGATCACATTAGTAAAACATTACAAAGTTGGTGATATTGTATATTTTAAACGAAAATAAACTAACAAGTCATATGGCCAAAAAAAGATGGTTTGGTATGGCCTGTGTTGGCGTAATTGGTGGAGTGATGGATTCGTACCAAAAAGGTACCGAGTTCGAATCCTACCTCCAGTCATAAAACGGAATTCAGCAGTACGACTAACGTTGTGGTACTTGTTTATTGTTAAATAACTCAAAGTAGATATAACAAAAAAGTTAACTTGGTATGGCCTGTGTTGGCCAAGTTTTTTTTCCCAAAAGTTTTTTGACCAAAAGCTTTTTGACCAAAAATTTTTTTTCCCAAAACTTTTTTGACCAAAAATTTTTTTAACCAAATTTTTTTTCCCCAAAAATTTTTTGACCAAAATTTTTTTGACCAAAATTTTTTTTCCAAAAAACTTTTTTTTTCAAAATTTTTTCCCAAAATTTTTTTCCCAAAATTTTTTTGGCCCAAATTTTTTTGACCAAAAATTTTTTTTTACAAAAAATTTTCAGACCAAAATTTTTTTGAACAACAATTTTTTTGACCAAAAATTTTTTCCCATAATTTTTTAGACCAAAAATTTTTTGACCAAAATTTTTTTGACCAAAAATTTTTTTGACCCAAACTTTTTTTCACAAAAAATTTTCAGACCAAAATTTTTTTGAACAAAATTTTTTTTGATCAAAAATTTTTTTCTCAAAATTTTTTTGACCCAAATTTTTTTGACTTTTGTCTGAAAATTTTGCTACCCTGTTCTCTCCATCGACTCCCACCTCCCAACGCGCGACGCCACGACGATCACATTAGTAAAACGTTACAAAGCTGGCGATATTGTATATTTTAAACGAAACTAAACTAACAAGTCATATGGCCAAAAAAAAGTTGCATTGGTATGGCCTGTGTTGGCGTAAGTGGTAGAGTGCTGGCTTCGTACCAGAAGTGTACCGAGTTCAAATCCTACCTCCAGTCATAAAACGGAATTCAGCAGTACAACTAACTTTGTGGTATTTATTTATTGTTGAATAACACAAAGTAGATATAACAAACTAACACGTCATATGGCCAAAAAAATGTTACATTTGTATAACCTGTGTTGGCGTATTTGGTAGAGTGATGGCTTCGTACCAAAAGGGTACCGAGTTCAAATCATACCTCAAGGCATAAAACGGAATTCAGCAGTACGACTAACGTTGTGGTGCTTGTTTATTGTTGAATAACACAAAGTAGATATAATAAACTAACACGTCATATGGCCAAAAAAATGTTAAGTTTGTATGGCCTGTGTTGGCGTATTTGGTAGAGTGATGGCTTCGTACCAAAAGGGTACCGAGTTCAAATCATACCTCAAGGCATAAAACGGAATTCAGCAGTACGACTAACGTTGTGGTACTTGTTTATTGTTGAATAACACAAAGTAGATATAACAAACTAACAGGTCATATGGCCAAAAAAAAGTTGAATTGGTATGACCCGTGTTGGCGTAATTGGTAGAGTGATGGCTTCGTAGCGAAGGGGTACCGAGTTCGAATCATACCTCAAGGCATAAAACGGAATTCGGCAGTACGACTGACGTTGTGGTATTTATTTATTGTTGAATGACACAAAGTAGATATAACAAACTAACATATTATGTGGCCAAAAAAAACTTGGATTGGTATGGCCTGTGTTGGCGTAAGTGGTAGAGTGATGGCTTCGTAGCAAAGGGGTACCGAGTTCGAATCATACCTCAAGGCATAAAACGGAATTCAGCAGTACGACTAACGTTGTGGTATTTATTTATTGTTGAATAACACAAAGTTGATATAACAAACTAACAGGTCATATGGCCAAAAAAAAGTTGAATTGGTATGGCCTGTGTTGGCGTAATTGGTAAGGTGATGGCTTCGTAGCAAAAGGGTACCGAGTTCGAATCACACCTCAAGGCATAAAACGGAATTCAACAGTACGACTAACGTTGTGGTACTTGTTTATTGTTGAATAACACAAAGTAGATATAACAAACTAACAAATCATATGGCCCATAAAAACTTGGTTTGGTATGGCCTGTGTTGGCGTAAGTGGTGGAGTGATGGCTTCGTAGCAAAAGGGTACCGAGTTCGAATCCTACCTCCAGCCATAAAACGGAATTCAGCAATACGACTAACGTTGTGGTGTTTATTTATTGTTGAATAACACAAAGTAGATATAAGAAACTAACAGGTCATATGGCCAAAAAAAAAGTTGGTTGGTATGGCCTATGTTGGCGTAGGTGGTAGAGTGATGGCTTCGTACCAAAAGGGTACCGAGTTCGAATCCTACCTCCAGCCATAAAACGGAATTCAGCAATACGACTAACGTTGTGGTGTTTATTTATTGTTGAATAACATAAAGTAGATATAACAAACTAACACGTCATATGGCCAAAAAAAAGTTGAATTGGTATGACCCGTGTTGGCGTAATTGGTAGAGTGATGGCTTCGTAGCAAAAGGGTACCGAGTTCGAATCATACCTCAAGACATAAAACGGAATTCAGCAGTACGACTAACGTTGTGGTACTTGCTTGTTGTTGAATAACACAAAGTAGGTATAACAAACTAACAGGTCATATGGCTAAAAAAAGTTAAACTGGTATGGCCTGTGTTGGCGTAACTGGTAGATTGATGGCTTTGTACCAAGAGGGTATCGAGTTCGAACCATACCTCAAGCCAAAAAACGGAATGCGATTAACAACGTGGATATATTAAACTAACAACAAATCATGATGCCGAAAAAAGCAGAATCTATGTGGCCTGTGGTGGCGTAATTGGTAGCATGATGGCCTACGAAAACCCAATCCCCTAATGAATCTCGAATCATCCCCGAACAGGCGATAGGGGGGATTGCAAACCCGTGCCCCTGTGATTCCACCCCCTAAAAATGAATATAGCCGAGTAAGGGTACCGGGCGACAACCACCTCTGGATCGTGGCAAAAGTGGGTAGAAGAGCAAAGGAAGGAAGTGAGAGAGAAAGAGAGAGCGAAGAAAGAAAGTGTTAAAGGTGTGCGGTTACATAGCAACGGTCGCTAGGCAACCAGGATATTCGCAAAATAATATTACTGAAAAACGGTCGCTAGG